GCGCCGTCCCGGAAGCGAAACCCCCCCCGAGCGGGCCGCACCCCGGAAGAAAATTCCCGCCCGTGAGGCCGCGCCGCGCATCGCTCCCCCTCGCGACGCGGCCCCCACACACACACTCCCCCCTCTCCCCCGCGCCCCTCCCTCGCCACGCCCCCCGCGCGCCACGCCCACACGTGACGCTAAGAGGGGAGGGGCCGCGCTGCGCACGGCACGCACGTGACCCGCGGCGGGACTATATAAAGGGCGCGCAGGGCCTCCGCCGGCCTTTTCGGTCCGCCATGGTGGTTGGGGCGCAGCGGGCGGCGAGGCCCGGGAGGTGAGTGCTGGGTCTTTGCCGCCCGATGTTGGGCCCGCACCGTTGCGGGGGAGGGGGTTGAGGCGCTGCGGGTGCGGCTTGGTCCCCGATGGGCGCTGGAGGGGGAGGATGGTGGTGGATTGGGTCGGCGCGGCCCCCTTTGCGGCCTAGGCCGCTGGAGCCTTCTGAGGGGATTCCGCCTCGTGGCGGCCCGGCGGGGGGGGGCAGGGAGCAAAAACCCCCAAAAGGGGGGGCGTGTGGCAGGGCACAACCCCCCCCCCCCCCGCGGGTTGCTGGAAGGGGAGGCCAGCGCAGGTCCCACGGAGATGGTGGGCCCGTGGAGCTTCGGCCTTGAGGCCCGTCAGCCTCAAGGGGAGGGGAGCGTCCTTGGCGGGAGCGGTGCGGAGGGGCCGAGGCCTTGGCCTGGGCTCATCTCTGGGGGTTTGAAAGGGGATGAGAGCTCGGGGGTGCCTGCTGGGAAGTGGGTGGCTGTTGGCGCTGCGGCGTCTGGCCTGGAAATCCTTTTCCTATGGAAAATAATCCTGGAAGATGCAGAGATTTCTATTTTTTTATATTTTTAACTTTTTTTTTGTACTCCACGCTATGCTTTAATGAGATAGCCTCGACCGATAAGTGGAAAATAACGTGCAAAATGCAACGGGAGCGTTGCGGTAGGATTAAGGTTTGCCTGCTCCTCCGTAAAACAAATGCTTGGAAGGGTGCCAGGCTGGGGAAGAGCCCTTTCATTGTGGGGAAGGTGCAAAATAACTTCCTGATAAATGGGGCAGGCAGCCGTACCCGGTTCACGTGCTCCGGGTAATAGTTAGCTTCCTTAAGTGTTATAATTAAAATACCTCATGTTAACAAAGTAGTATGATAGCTCCCCGGGAGTTCCACGTGCCTGCACATGATGAAAACTATGTTGGTAGGGACATCTGAGAGGGTGATGAATACCAACATATCTGAGCTGGGCATGGAATGGTTTGTGGTGGTGTGGCTGGTGTGGCTGAAAGGCAGCACAAACTTTATCAGTTTTCATCCTTCTTTCATCGTTTTTGTGGCCTTGTCTCTCAAAAGATCTCTAGTGTAGATGGCATCAGGGAGAGCTTTGCTGTGAGGCTCAGAGTATGTTGAGTTTTACTTGCATTTTTCAAAAGAGAATGTGTGAACATAACACCTTCATTCTGCAAAGCAGAAAAACTAATGGATGCTCTCTCCTTTTCAGTTTAAGATGCATCAACTGCACTTCCCTCTTACGGCTTCAAACCAGGTAGGTGCTGCTTTTGAAATACAGAGTTTAAATTGAGAAATAATAAGTAGGTACACTTCTAGCAACTAGCCTGGTGTATCAGAAAATTACGAGCCTTTGTAATCTAGTAACCTTCACTCTTCTACTGGGAAATTCATGTCTTTTTACTGGAAAGTGGATGTGAGGCTCCTGTATGTGAATCAGTAATCCATTCTCCATCCAAACTGCAATGACATCCTTGATAGCTTTTATCTTTTCTTACTGTTTTTGCATCGTCCACAGCAATAAATAGTTTGTTGCTTGGAGAAAAGGGACTGATGCATGTTTCAAAACATCTGTAAATATCAGGATAGATGTTAACTAAATCGGAGAGCCTATGATGGTTTCAGTATAAGAGTAGTGGACAGAAGTGATTTCTGAAAACTCCGTGCTGAGGCTTTTTTCTGTGCTTAGTGTCACTGCTGGAGGTTGCCCTAGTTCCTACAAACATCTGAAAATGTTGGTATCTCTTTCAGATCTGCCACTGAATATGAGGACTTGATGCTACTTCACAAGGTAAAAAATATACTTGAAAATCCAATGTAAAATGGTGCTTAGTGTTTGTCTAGATAGTATCTTTCATTATAATAATATCAGTAGGCAGACTTTATTATCTGAGCTTTTCTCTCTGGTGCCACAATGATGACACTTATTTGCTACTCTTGACCAAGAGAGTGATGAACACTTTTACCACCATATCTTTCCTCTGAGGCACAACATCTTAGAATTCTTCTTGATGTTTTAACTTCTGAACATGCTGTTCATAAGCTTTTTTTTTTCTTCCAGGCTTTGAATTGTGTGCTTGGAAGACTTGGACAAGAAACATGAACTGGTAAGAAATGTGTGGTCTATTTAGGGGTTTCTTGCATGGAGCTGCTGAAACAGTGCAGTAGAAAGGGTGGGGTGTGTAAAATGGGCAGGAAGTTATTTGGGATTCATTTCCACTAATATGCAGAAACAATTGATAATTACTGCTATTCAAAAACTACTGAATCTTAATTTTTCAAGGCTTTCACAAGAGGCAATTACTTGGTACTATTATTCCAAAGTAGATACAGTGATGACGGCATAGTTCAGCAGAATATTCTGTGACGAACAATTTTCTTTCACTCCTATCTGATGTATCTACCTGTTGTGATCTCTTGCAAGGAGGTGTGGCTTTGGCCATGGAGGCTGAGGGAATTGTGATTTATTTATTTTTCTTTTGTTGCAGGCACTGGAAGATGAAGCTGTAAGCTGTGCAAGGTAAATATTATATTGCCTGCATCTGTAAAAATTAATTTATAGGCCTAATATGTGAAAAGGCTGTGTGTGATGACTGCATAGTTCAGCAGATGACCCATGGTGATCATGTTTTTCTTTCGCTCCTATCTGATGCAGCCTCATATACCTTAGGCTAAGTTTGACAGATATTTCACTCAGCTTTCCACATGAACTACTACATCATTTTGCTCCGTGAATGTTGTTTTGAAAATTTGTCTTGGAAGATCAGGAAATAGGCTAAACATTAAAAATTTAATAGAATCATAGAATGGTCCAGGCCAGAAGGAACCTCCAAAGGTCATCTAGTCCGGCCTCCCCACAGTCAGCAGGGACACCCCCAACTAGACCAGGTTACCCAGGGCCTTTTTGAGCCTCCCCTTGAATATCTCCAGGGATGGGGCTTAAACCACCTCCCTGGGCAACCTGTTCCCGGGCTCCACAACCCTTATAGTAAAGAACTTTTTCCTAATATCCAATCTAAATCTGCCCTTTCCCAACTTTGTAAACAGACTCTCTCCAGCTTTCCTGTAGGCCCCCCTCAGTACTGGAAGGCTGGTATTAGGTCTCCCTGGAGTCTCCTCTTCTCCAGGCTGAACAACCCCGGCTCCTTCAGCCTGTCCTTGTAGCAGAAGTGCTCCAAACCCCTGATAATTTTAGTGGCCCTCCTCTGGACCCTCTCCATCAGGTCCATGTCCTTCCTATATTGAGGGCTCCAGACCCGCACACAATACTCCAGGTGAGGTCTCACCAGAGCAGAGTAAAGTGGCAGAATTGCCTCTCTGGATCTGCTAGCAACACTTCTTTTGATGCATCCCAGGATGAATGGAAGGATAAAGTAGGCTCTGCTTGTGAAGTTAAGCATAAATACAGCAGATAAAATTTGCTATTTCAGTAATATAAGATCTGAGTGCTCCAAGTTCTGTGTTTGTTGCTTTGCAGGCTGCCCTAGATGGAGGATACTTGTGCCTTCAGTGTGAGAAGCTGTTTCATCTGTTACCTATACTGGTGAAGACAAGGCCTTCCTGATTGAAGGTAATTTAAAAACCTTTTTTAGATGAATGCTACACTTAGCTGTGCTGCATTTGAGCCTGGGAGTTTGCTTTTGAAGATGAGAGGCTCTACAAATCTTTGTTTCTGGAAGATCAGGAGCAAAAATACTAGTGCCCTAAGTGTACCTTCAGATCCCCTGTGCTTCACAAGAAAAACATTAATTGTTTTCTAGTGTTAAAGTGTTTCTAGAATGTGCCTGTTGAGACTAAATGGTGCTGGGAGATGGCTTCACACCTTCCCCTTGTGAAGGGGCTGGGAGCATTGTGGTCTGCTGCTGTACATGATGTTGAATCAGGTCTCTGATCCCAATGAGGATAAAACTTGACAAAACGCTGATACAGTATTTTGCTGCAACTTGAGCTATGCTAAAACTTTCTTCTGGACCTTATCTAATAATGACTTTTCCTTTGCAGGCTTCCAAAGGGTTTCTCGCAATGATGTAAGTACTTGTTTTAACTTTGCAAGTATTAGCCTAAACAGTAAATGCCTAGGAAATAAAGTATTTAACTGTATGTAAGCTGGGGAGGAGGTGCAAGGGGGACTGGTGTTGGTTGCTGTATGCACCTTGACCAAAACAGGGTGATGTTTAAGGGGAGAAGAGCTGGATAAAGCCTATCCTTGACTGGCTATTTGCTAAACTCTTCACTGTGTGCATGTGAGCTCCTGAAGTTGCTTGGGTAGCACTACTTGTGTGTTTGCTCCCTTCCCCATCGCAACCTCAGCCTAAAGCAGATAGCTGCCCAGTGACTGACAGGGCAAAGCTGCCTGTGTGATGAGATGTGACTGCCTTGACTTCAACCATGGAGGTCTGCAATTAGCTCTATCTGACTTCAGGCACCTGATTAATTTTCAGCCTTGTGTACTTGCTTGTGCGCTGTCGTGATACTATGCTGTCTTCCAGGGCTGGTGTGGTGGACCCTGTGAAGTGATGCGGTTTGTGGTGCTACCTGCAAAAGTAAGTTGCCAGTAAATGCATATGACTGGTCAGAACTGAGTGACAGGTGATGGGGAAGTTAATTGATGTTGGCCTCTAATGACAGTGTCACTGCAGCATTAAGGAGAAGGATCCTTGAGCATTTTCTAACCTCTAACAATATATCACAAGTTGCCAGCAGCCTGCGGGGTTCATTTACCCAAGGTGTTAGGGAATGAATATCATACTTTGGGACCAAAGTAAAGCTCTAGAGTAACATTAGCATGATAGTAACTTCATTTTATGTCTATAGCCTAGATTTGAGACAGGGAGATCTGCTAGGTACTTTGTGACAAATGATGCTTACTCATTAAACTGCTTGCTTCTTAGTTGTCATAAGACTTTTTTACTATTTCTGAATGATAACTGCTTTCTGTAACTGAAAAGAAATAGTATATACCAGTTAAAATCATGTAACTGCTATGGACTGCTTGAGTTTCTAGTTGATAGGAGAATATGTGGTAGCCTGGCAATGTGGAGCTTGTGTTAACCAAAACCAGTACAAATACTTGATATTTACCTTTTTACAAGTTAAATTGACTAGTGGGTTTTAGGGAGTAGCACTGATCTTAAGCAGTTCAAGTAATGTGGTAAATTATTTGTCTGAATGTCTAGATTAGAGGTCTTACGTGATGGGAATGAAGATGTGGTTGGGGATAAGGTCTGAAATGCCGAGGTCAGGTCCTACTTTAAGAAGAAAAAAGCAACAAAACACTAAACTCTAAGCATGTACTGTTTGTGATGATTAATTCTAAGCAATGGGAATCTCTCTGAAAGAGACTGAGGAGGACTCTTGCACTGAAACAGTACATGCATTCAGACTTAAGTCTTGAAGCACTGCCAAGGAGAGTGTGTTAATAAAATTTCACTTGTTACAGGGTGAAGCTCATGGGGATTTTGTGTGAGAAACAGGACTAATGGAAGGATAAAGTAGGCTCTGCTTGTGAAGTTAAGCATAAATACAGCAGATAAAATTTGCTATTTCAGTAATATAAGATCTGAGTGCTCCAAGTTCTGTGTTTGTTGCTTTGCAGGCTGCCCTAGATGGAGGATACTTGTGCCTTTAGTGTGAGAAGCTGTTTCATCTGTTACCTATACTGGTGAAGACAAGGCCTTCCTGATTGAAGGTAATTTAAAAACCTTTTTTAGATGAATGCTACACTTAGCTGTGCTGCATTTGAGCCTGGGAGTTTGCTTTTGAAGATGAGAGGCTCTACAAATCTTTGTTTCTGGAAGATCAGGAGCAAAAATACTAGTGCCCTAAGTGTACCTTCAGATCCCCTGTGCTTCACAAGAAAAACATTAATTGTTTTCTAGTGTTAAAGTGTTTCTAGAATGTGCCTGTTGAGACTAAATGGTGCTGGGAGATGGCTTCACACCTTCCCCTTGTGAAGGGGCTGGGAGCATTGTGGTCTGCTGCTGTACATGATGTTGAATCAGGTCTCTGATCCCAATGAGGATAAAACTTGACAAAACGCTGATACAGTATTTTGCTGCAACTTGAGCTATGCTAAAACTTTCTTCTGGACCTTATCTAATAATGACTTTTCCTTTGCAGGCTTCCAAAGGGTTTCTCGCAATGATGTAAGTACTTGTTTTAACTTTGCAAGTATTAGCCTAAACAGTAAATGCCTAGGAAATAAAGTATTTAACTGTATGTAAGCTGGGGAGGAGGTGCAAGGGGGACTGGTGTTGGTTGCTGTATGCACCTTGACCAAAACAGGGTGATGTTTAAGGGGAGAAGAGCTGGATAAAGCCTATCCTTGACTGGCTATTTGCTAAACTCTTCACTGTGTGCATGTGAGCTCCTGAAGTTGCTTGGGTAGCACTACTTGTGTGTTTGCTCCCTTCCCCATCGCAACCTCAGCCTAAAGCAGATAGCTGCCCAGTGACTGACAGGGCAAAGCTGCCTGTGTGATGAGATGTGACTGCCTTGACTTCAACCATGGAGGTCTGCAATTAGCTCTATCTGACTTCAGGCACCTGATTAATTTTCAGCCTTGTGTACTTGCTTGTGCGCTGTCGTGATACTATGCTGTCTTCCAGGGCTGGTGTGGTGGACCCTGTGAAGTGATGCGGTTTGTGGTGCTACCTGCAAAAGTAAGTTGCCAGTAAATGCATATGACTGGTAAAGCCTTTTTTAGATGAATGCCACACTTAGCTGTGTTGCATTTGAGCCTGGGAGTTTGCTTTTGAAGATAAGAAAGAGGGTCTACAAATCTTTGTTTCTGGAAGATCGGAAGCAAAAATACTAGTGCCCTAAGTGTACCTTCAGATCCCCTGTGCTTCACAAGAAAAACATTAATTGTTTTCTAGTGTTAAAGTGTTTCTAGAATGTGCCTGTTGAGACTAAATGGTGCTGGGAGATGGCTTCACACCTTCCCCTTGTGAAGGGGCTGGGAGCGTTGCGGTCTGCTGCTGTACATGATGTTGAATCAGGTCTCTGATCCCAATGAGGATAAAACTTGACAAAACGCTGATACAGTATTTTGCTGCAACTTCAGCTATGCTAAAGCTTTCTACTGGACCTTATCTAATAATGACTCTTCCTTTGCAGGCTTCTGAAGGGTTTCTCATAATGATGTAAGTACTTGTTTTAACTTTGCAAGTATTAGCCTAAACAGTAAATGCCTAGGAAATAAAGTATTTAACTGTATGTAAGCTGGGGAGGAGGTGCAAGGGGGACTGGTGTTGGTTGCTGTATGCACCTTGACCAAAACAGGGTGATGTTTAAGGGGAGAAGAGCTGGATAAAGCCTATCCTTGACTGGCTATTTGCTAAACTCTTCACTGTGTGCATGTGAGCTCCTGAAGTTGCTTGGGTAGCACTACTTGTGTGTTTGCCCCCCTCCCCATTGCAACCTCAGCCTAAAGCAGATGGCTGCCCAGTGACTGACAGTGCGAGCTGCCTGTGTGATGAGATGTGACTGCCTTGACTTCAACCATGGAGGTCTGCAATTAGCTCTATCTGACTTCAGGCACCTGATTAATTTTCAGCCTTGTGTACTTGCTTGTGCGCTGTCGTGATACTATGCTGTCTTCCAGGGCTGGTGTGGTGGACCCTGTGAAGTGATGCGGTTTGTGGTGCTACCTGCAAAAGTAAGTTGCCAGTAAATGCATATGACTGGTCAGAACTGAGTGACAGGTGATGGGGAAGTTAATTAATGTTGGCCTCTAATCACAGTGTCACTGCACCATTAAGGAGAAGGATCCTTGAGCATTTTCTAACCTCTAACAAGAGATCACAAGTTGCCAGCAGCCTGCGGGGTTCATTTACCCAAGGTGTTAGGGAATGAATATCATACTTTGGGACCAAAGTAAAGCTCTAGAGTAACATTAGCATGATAGTAACTTCATTTTATGTCTATAGCCTAGATTTGAGACAGGGAGATCTGCTAGGTACTTTGTGACAAATGATGCTTACTCATTAAACTGCTTGCTTCTTAGTTGTCATAAGACTTTTTTACTATTTCTGAATGATAACTGCTTTCTGTAACTGAAAAGAAATAGTATATACCAGTTAAAATCATGTAACTGCTATGGACTGCTTGAGTTTCTAGTTGATAGGAGAATATGTGGTAGCCTGGCAATGTGGAGCTTGTGTTAACCAAAACCAGTACAAATACTTGCTATTTACCTTTTTACAAGTTAAATTGACTAGTGGGTTTTAGGGAGTAGCACTGATCTTAAGCAGTTCAAGTAATGTGGTAAATTATTTGTCTGAATGTCTAGATTAGAGGTCTTACGTGATGGGAATGAAGATGTGGTTGGGGATAAGGTCTGAAATGCCGAGGTCAGGTCCTACTTTAAGAAGAAAAAAGCAACAAAACACTAAACTCTAAGCATGTACTGTTTGTGATGATTAATTCTAAGCAATGGGAATCTCTCTGAAAGAGACTGAGGAGGACTCTTGCACTGAAACAGTACATGCATTCAGACTTAAGTCTTGAAGCACTGCCAAGGAGAGTGTGTTAATAAAATTTCACTTGTTACAGGGTGAAGCTCATGGGGATTTTGTGTGAGAAACAGGACTAACAGATGTCTGAGGTAAGTGTAGAGTGCCTGAGGTTTGATAATTACTGGAATATTGTTTTTGTGCTAAATGCATAGATAGTGGTCCCTAAAATTAGTACTATAATAGATCTGATTTGTGTTCCTTCATTGTATTCTGATTCTCTCATTCTCAAATACTGTGGGAATAAAGATGGTGTGCTTGAAGCAAGGATGCATTTCTATGTAGTTCTGAATTTGAGTTGAGAAGGAAGGGCTCTGAGTGGATGCCCTAACAATTTCTGAACTGTAGTCAGTGGTAAATGCTATGTAGTTCCGTTTGTATGAACAGAAGAAATCCCCTCAGTGACTCTTAAAAACTGGGTTTTTATTGCTTGATGTCTTCACACAGTGGAAATAGTAAAAGAACTGAATTGGTGGAGACCACTTTCCCAATACAGTATTGATAATGTAGTACAGCAGGATGCACAGCAGCAAATGTAACTCCTGGCATTAACTAACACCTGGTGTATCTGGCTGTGCTGTGAGCTGGCATTATAACACTGCACTCTTGAATTAAAACACTAACTCCATATGCTGTGGTTGTCACTACTCAGTAATTTTTGCTAATCTTGGTTATGTTGGCTGGACACCAATTTAGGGTTGAGTGATAGCTGTACAAACTTGTTTCCTCCAACAGACTACTTTTCACTGTTAAGGGTAGATTTCTTTGAGATGATTTATATGGGAGTTGTATTTTAAGTATTGAAACACATTGAATACAACTTTGGGTTGGGAAGAGACAGTGTCACAAAGTAGTAGCTTTGTGCTTTTCCCTGATTTCTTCCAATGTTAGTATTTCTGTATTTTCAATTCAGTTAGGGTTTGCAAACTTTGTATCTCCTATTTGGGTGTTGTAGTTGAAGTTCTTGTCAGTTGCCAGCTGAAATGCAGCCTCCCTGTAGGTAAAACTAGCTTGGTGGGTAGAATTTCATAGATAACAGACATCACTATATGCAAGCTTATTTATTCTGAAACTTTTCTCTTTCTCAGGAAAGGACTGTGCTGTCTGCAACTTCATTTGGGTAAGACCATGTATCAGATAAATTATGTTTAAAAAAACCCTGGGAGTATTTGTGACCACTGATGAAACTTGATTCTGCCAAATGAATTACAGTGATATCACAATTTCCGTTCCACTTCTTTCTGAGGTTACAAAGCTGCTGTGGGAGCTTTTAGCAGTTGTGTTATTGTATATGTTAACTGTGTTTTCTTGCTTTAGGTGAGGAGGCAACTTTGAAACTACTGTATGATGAACAGAGGAAGGTGAGTGTAACTCTAATAATAAACTTCAGTTGTTGGAACAAATGATGATAACCTTAGCTTGAACTCTCTCACTGAACAGAGATGAAAATCTAAGGTCTGAGTTGTTCCCAGCAAGCTTCTTGTGCTGGTTTGGTGTGTCTTATGGTGGTTCTTATGTCTGTCTTAATAGGTGGAAGATTGCAGAATAATGGATTACACTTCCAGGAACAGTGTTGGTAAAGTTTTTTACCATGCTGGTAATGCTTGCCTGGTACTGATTGGAACTAATAAAAATATATAAACTCTACATGTTGTTGTGAACTGCTTTCTGACCTGAACAGCTTGCTGTAAATCAGCTCTAGACTACTTTACAAAAGCTTCAAATACTTGATGTAGAGCAGGAACTAAACTAGTTCATATGCTAGTTCTGCAAGTGTCTTAAATGTCAGGTATTGCTAGTATGCAGACTGCAGTTGACATGGTCAGTTCTAAGATTTGGATGAATCTAAGTAATTGAAGTATAATTAGTATTTCGCAGAACTTAAAGCAGAACAGTTAAGAACTAAACACTTCTGCTTGTGTATTTGCTCCTAAAATTACAGACCCACCAGTAAGTCTGGTATTACATGTTCAGGCACAGATGATATGCACAGAATAAGCATACAGTTTGGACACTGTTAACCCTTTTCCACTGGACTCTGTCTAATCTGGTCACTGGTGTTACTCTGGAGCAAGACAGCATCCAGCCTCCGTGAGGGTGGGGGGAAATAGTTGAGCAGAGAGGTGGGGGATCTCAATAATACTATTTAAAGAAAAATCTTAACTGCTTATGAGGCACTGGGGCCTGCTAAAATATTGCTGCCTCCCAGAACTCATTAATGGTAAGCTTCTCTGAAAAATCTAATTTCCCCCATTTTTCTGTTGTCTCAGGAGTGATAGCAATATGGGAAAGGTATGCTCCATGAAGAACCCATTCTCCAAAACACTTGAGCTATTGCTGTGGCACTTCTAATGAGAAGTAAAACTAGGCATTCAAACTGTTCTGTGGGAATATTTTGAGATTATTAGTGTTCCCTAGAACCTTTCAGTAAGAGGAATAAGTTTGTCATGTTTCCCTCCCACTCCAGCTGGTACAATTGACTTGAATTTAAATTACATCTTGTAAAAAGAGCTGAAATCTTTTTAACCAGAATAGTATTTCATCCTAGAGAAAATGAATTAGACATGATCCTGTGTCCATGTGCAAATTAAATCTCTTCTGCACTAAAGCAAAAGCCATTAATAAGGTCTGTTTTCATCCAGAGCTGATTAGTAGCCTCTTAATATTCCCACCCACCGTATTACTTTTTAAAATACCACACTTCATTGTGCCTGTTAAAGAGCTTGAAGGGACTGTCATAGCCTGCAGTATAGAAGAAATCTTCATGGAATGGTTGGCCTCTGTTTCTTAAGATTCTGGCCAAAACTTCAGCTTCTTCAGCATATTTCTCTGGGGAGGCAAATCCTCCGAAGGACCTGGGAGAAGTGAAAAGGGAGGAGTTTTTTTGTTAAGAGTTCAAGTTTCTGCTTTTTAGTTTCCCAGAAGGAAACCTCAGGCTTGCAAAGTACAATGAGTTTGAGCACTTACGATGCAGTTTGTAGTTATTAGGTAAATTAATTAGAACTAGCTGTTGAGGAAAGAATAAGAATACACCCAAGAATGTGCTGCTTACCGGACAAAGATGGCTGCTGCTTTCCGCTCCTCAACAAACACATCGGAGTCAGTGGGCTGTGGTGGGGAGTCCTGGTGTTCAAATGGCACAAAGAAAGAGATCTTGAAGTCTGTGCAGCCAGATTTTACCAGGCACGTCACTGGCACAGTCATATCAATCTTCATTTCTAGAGGACAGGGAGGGAAAAAAAAAGTTGTCTAAGCAAAGATAGTGCCTGAATGCTGCTGTAAAGGGTGAAAAAAAAGTTGTCTAAGCAAAAGACAATGCCTGAATGCTGCTGTAAAGGGTGATGCAGATATCAAAGCCTTACAGGTAGAATTGCCACATAGTCATAAGGATGTTAAATTAGGAAAAGAAAGCCTCATGGATAGAATTGCTGCATAGTCATAAGGATGTTAAATTAGGAAAAGGAACCTGCTGTGTACTGTTTAGCTTCATAGAATCATAGAATGGTTTGGGTTGGAGGGGACCTCAAAGATCATCTAGTTCCAACCCCCTGCCATGGGCAGGGACACTTCCCACTAGAGCAGGTTGCTCAAGGCCACATCCAGCCTGGCCTTGGAACACTTCCAGGGATGGGGCATCCACAACTAACTTCATCTCCCATTTGTGCTTTTTCAGTTCACAACCAGCTCATTGTACCTTTATCATTCTTCCCTTGGATGTAGTGGAAGAGTTTCCAGAAGCCTTGGCGCATTGCCTCCTTCTGGGTTTCTCCCCTGATGACTGCGCTGACCCACTTCGCCGTCTCATACTGACGCAGTTCATAATCCTTTGCCTGAAAGGGAGCAGAAATCACAATAACCATGAGATGAATGCTAAAGATGACATAAGTGAATAGCTACTTCTTCCAAATCAGTGTGGGAGTGGTGTTTGTATCAGAAAACACCCAGCAGCCTCTTAGCTGCAGACTAGGCATACCCCCAGTGTGGAACTTTGATACATCCCTTGCAAAACCATATGTTCTGCCTTGGAGTGAGCTCCTTAGAGCTTGAAAGTGAGCATTCCTCTTTCCAATTAAGTATAAGCAGCATCCATAGTAATGCTTCCCAGCTCCTTCATGCTCAACAGAATCCCAAATCCACCTTAGCTCTGTAGCACCCTGACTGCAGAGCACTCTGTTCCCCAGCCTTTGGTGATTACCATCGTATCTGCTGAGCTCCATCGCGGGGACTGCAGATCCAGGGACAGAAAAGTTTGCTTGAAGGATTTGATCATCTTGCTAAAGCTGAAAGGCAGACAAGAGTTCATTGGCCCCTCTTCAATCAGTGCAGTATAAACAGAGCAGGAGAAAGCCCTAGGGCTTTTCTGCCAAATGTCAAAGAGCTTTTCCTCAGCCTCTGGTCTCCAACATTTCATAATGCTATACTCAGAAGCGACTGCAAAAATCCATGCAAAAGACAGGTGCTTTGTAGGAGGTAGTTCTCCCTGAAATTTTGAAAGGCCTGGTTTCCACTGCTTATCCCCAATGATGCAACAACAAGGGCTGAAATCCTTTTTAGCCCCGAAGGAACCACCAAGGAACCAGGACCAAGAAGCTACCTCTAGGCTGATGTGGGAGTGTTCATCTGTAAGGATTTGCTGCCTTTGCTTCTCTGTGAAGACATTTCCTGGCTGCAAACAGAAGGTTGAGATTCTGCAAGTGGCAATTAAGTGGAAATCCGTAAGTAAAAGTGACCAGAAGTTCAACCACTCTGGGTGAAAAGGGATTGGTGTCGATGGTTACTCTGGTATCAACTCTGCCTGTTAACTTTATTGGGCCTCTCATAATAGCTGATGCCTTTCTTAAGGCCTTTAGCCTTGGAGTCCTGTGAACAGACAAGATCCTCTGTATTTATGAACATGTAGCTACTTTCCCAGTTACACACAGAAGGAAAAAGCTGAAAACAGGAAAACACTCAACTTCCTCTCACTGTCCCGAAATAAAGCAAGTGAATATAATCAAAATCACTTGAAATAATCACATCTGGTTAAAATTCTTGAGATTTTAGGAGCCTTGATTTATGATTTTTGTCAATACCAGGCAGTTTATAGTGCATAACCTACATCCTGAGAAAGTCTTTGATGTCCTTTGTGCTTCATTTTACAAAACCAGCATGTAGTTAGTTAATCCATTTTCTTGTTTGCCAGGTCATAGTACATTGTCTTCTCAGCGTATGACTTAACTGCATGTTTGTTGGGTAACAGAACAAACTTATTTTCATTTCTGGGCCTCCTCAGTGGTTTATAGCAGTCCACACAATGAGAAGGCACTGCTCTGTCACTCATGGCTCTACTTTTTTTGTGGGCTTTTAGTATTAGAAGTGCAGCGATGCAATTCACGGCACGTCCCACCTCCAGTGGTAAGGTCTTTAAGGGATGCCATCTTTAATATGGTGTTTGTGAATGCCTGGTTTTGTACCATGGCTACTTTTGTAAAATGAAGAACTGCCTTGTGTTACCTGACTACTTTCTTACTGGTTTCAATTTTCTTATGACACGTAGAATACTGTTGAATACTATTAATTTCCTTCTGTACCCTGGTTTTGAGGTAGCTACAAGTTTTCTCTTTGGGATCTCTTGGATTGAAAAACATTTACGAAAAAACCCCAACCAACCAAACAAAAAACACCCCCAAAAATCCTTCTGGCTCTGATTTCACTTGCAGTCCTTAAAATAAGTAGTGCAGAGAGCACTCACGTGCTGAGATTTTCTAGCATCTCCTTCAGTTGTTACCATAGAGTAAGGGAAGATCAGAGAATCATGCAGCAGGAGACTTGATGCCAGTGGTTAAGAGCAGGGACTGTCCCCCTCCCTGTCCCAGCCTTTTGTCAATAATATTAACAACTCAACAAAGTATAATACTAAAGCAGGAATACAATCATTTTATTAGAAGTTCCCCCTCCCTGTCCCAGCCTTTCAGCCTTGCATCAACTTCTGCATTCTTTACCAGAATGACTGGACACCGGGGACTGCAGTCCCAAGCTGAGCAGTTGCATTCTAATACACTTTTTGTCAATAATATTAACAACTCCACAAAGGATAATAATAAAGCAGGAATACAATCATTTTATTAGAAGCAAATGTGAGCAGTTATACTCAAACATCCTACAGTAACTTATCCATTGCCATTTCAAAGGCAAAGATGCTGCTTCTCTATCACTTTCTCCTTGCTACAACTTGATAGAAAACATGTTTCTCTTCAGGTGCTCCCTGGGTATGTTAGAAAGCAGAGAAGTAAATGTTCTTCTAGCTCCTGTAGGACCTGGCTTGTCTCTGTACTTGCCAATTCCAACCCCTCCCCGACACACCTTTTCTTAACTGCTGGTTACATCTCTCACAGCTCTGTCTTTTATAACTTTGTGGCCAGTACTATTGATGACTGCATGTATGAAATATTTTTGAATTACATAAAACAATGCTTGGGGGGAGAGAGGGAAAAGACAAACTGAGAAGAATCCTCCAAATGTTTACAGTTGAATGGATTTTTAGATCTACAGGAAAACTTAGCTTTGAGATTCCCATCTGTTCGTGTAGATATTACTGTAGGGTGTCTAGGCTTTTTCTGCAGCTGTTAACACATGGGCGTTTACAGTTGAATGAATTTTTAGATCTACAGGAAAGCTTAGCTTTGAGATTCCCATCTGTTCATGTAGATAGTACTGTAGGGTGTCTTAGGCTTTTTCTGCAGCTGTTAACACATGGGCCAGAAAGCATAGTAGGCATCTTCACAGGTTACAGTGATGCAGCAAGTAAATGAAGCCAGAACATGACATCCCACAAGCCACGGGACAGAAAGTATAGTAGGCATCTTCACAGGTTATAGTGATGCAGCAAGTAAATGAAGCCAGAACATGACATCCCACAAGCCACTAATTATGTTAAGAAAGCAGAGAAAGTAGATATACTTACGTTTCAAGCTGTACTTGCCCTTCTAGCTATTGCAGTCTATCCTTCTGAGGCTGCACATACTCACAAAATGCTGCCTGTTGGTGTTTATTTTAGTTTCACCAAACCCCGCCCCTGCCTCAGCCCTACTGGAGGGAGATGCTGTTATGAAAACCAGAAGGCTGTAGCTTTGTCCTCCTCTGGGTCTCATTGGAGCGCTCCCACGCAAATGCCGAAAGCCCCACCTACTGCCCACGAGGCAACATTGGGTCCAGTGTGTGATCTGGCTCCATAAACAATTTCAGCACCCTTGTGTAACTTCCCCTGGTTTCCATGGCTTTGTGCCTACTTCTGTCAGGGTCAGCGGCAGGTTTTGTGCTCTTGAGAGAAAGAATTTCACGTAAATAACATTTTCCCCCTGACTCAAATTATGCGAGAGTGATGGCACGGCGTGTCAGCTTTTCCTTTTTACCCCTGGAGTAAAATAGTAGGTAGAAGTCTGGCTGCAAACTAAGGCCATCCTCACGAGATTTCTGCTGGCATGTTATGAAAGACAGACAGTGTTCTATAATGGCTGTCTGTTTTGAGCGGTATTTGAGACTAATCAGCCCCCCCCCCAGCCCTTGGATATCTGCACAAAGGGGTTATACAAAGCTATTGTGAAATTCTGTCCTGCTTATAATACACAAAGTGAAGCTGGACTCTTCATTTAATCAGCTACAGCTCCAGACATATTTAGGTACCAGCACAATAGGGCAGATTAAACTTCACAGTTTTGAGCTCTGAGAGCACCTCCTGTGTTTGTCCTGGTTTGTGTGCAAATTCCTTGCAGCCAAATTCAGCTGAGCTCTCTGGGACATTTGAAATCAGTAGCTGAGAATGACTTTTAACAGAGAACATATTTTGCTTGCAGAGAAGAACTTCATCAGGATGCTGCACGAAACACTTCTATTCTGAAAGGGGGAAGTAAAAAAATCCAAACCCATGCCAAACAGCAATTGCAAACCTATCTCTAAAGCCACAAAGCTCTAAAGCCACAGAAGTGGGGTGGTGTAAGGAGTGGTTTAGTAGTGGAGCCTGTTAGAACACACTAAGGACTGAAATGCAGAGTCAGTTCTCTGCATGCTTTGTAGTTTTATTTTACCAAGTGAACTTTCTGTCAGTTTTACCTGTGTTCTGTGTCAAACAGGAGAATCAGCAGGGCGGTTTGGAGAAGCAGAAGGTGCTACTTCGTGGTCTTTGCTCAGGAGCTACTGGCAAGCAAAGGCTCGTGCTTGTGTAAGGTCAGCTGTTCCATTATTCTCTCACCCTAACATTCCTGTCAAGTGTGGATTAGTAACTATTTTCTCCAGAGTAGAGAAGTAAAAAAACTAACACTTTTTTAAACAACACTTGGCCACGACAGTTTGGCCAAATCTACCCCAATTGTGAGCACAGAGAAGTATTGCTTTGAAAGGGGGGCAATTACACTATCTGAAGCAGCGATATTAACAAGGGAGAAAATGAACATCAGAAGAAAAAGGCCAAGGGATTCCAGACATAAAAGAGGAATTTCTAGGAAATGTACTACTGTGGAGATGCTGTGGAGGGAAATGTGACAGAAAGTGGCCACAACTAGATGAAAGCAGTATCTGAAAGGTATACAAGTATAAGTTAAAAGTGTAGACTGTAATTAATCTGTAGGTAAACACAAGCCCCCTGTGAATTCTCATTTTGTTTCTGAAACAGAGAGGCCCAGAACAAATCCCCAGTCAGTTTGTATGTGTCCAGCTGCTGTTTCTGTCCCCAACAAAGAGCCAACTGTTCCTGGTGGAGTAGCCTGAGGCTGGGGAACAATCATCAGTGTTTTATCAAGAGGTTGTTTTCCAACACTCTTGTTTTTCACACATAAGTTGAGAGAACATGTCAACAGTTGGAAGAGACAGTGGGGCAGGCATGAGGGACATGTATTCTTTACATAACTACATACATACGCAAACCGTATATAATTAGGGGGATGGAGAAGGGATTATGATGGAAGCTGACACACAGTCTCACTGGTACCTCCAAATAGGGGAAAATCTGACTACACTAACTCTGTACCCCTTGCCTTTTACACAGGAAAATAACATGAAAGAACTGATTTAGCACCTTGAGGTCCCAGTAGTTTGCAGAACGTATGACAGGGAAGTTCAACAGCGTAGGAACACTGCTAGTTTGCCTGGCTGCCTCTGCTGCACAGGGAAAAGCAAAAATGGCATTAACAAAAGCTCATACTACTTATATAAACACCAACTTCTTGTATGCAAAGAGTTGCTGCCCACAGAGGAGCCCTAAATGTACTAATTAAATAGGTAGTGATTAAGTCTCAAAGGTAGCCTATGACACCTCTGTTTAATGGCATATCTATGTGTCTGGGACTTGGCTGGTATTTTCTAGAATAGCTGACAAAGCAATGCTTTTCTGTACTGTTGCCTTAAACTGAAGGAGTAGAGATGAGGGCACAAGCATATAAAAGCATGTGGTTTGTAGCTTAATTTTACTATTTTCAGTGGGTACTTCTGGGCAGAACACCATAATGAACTTGTACTTAAGTAATGTTTTTTCAGGCTAGCAACTTCTATTGGAGAAGTATAAGGACAAGACTGTGATATGATCACTTGGGACTTCCATTTTCCTCTCTGTAGACTATATCTACACTTACCTCTAACAAGCCCAGACAAGACCTTAAGCAACATGCTATAAAGCAAAAATGCTTACGTCTGCTCTGAGGCAACATTACAACAGCTGCTGTCACATCCATACAAGTGTGTTGTAAGGTGCCTTCATCCCTAAAGGCAAGCACAGACTGCTTGCACAAAAAAGATGAATCTTTTTCCATTGACCTAATTGTGCCAGGATTGGAGAAGCCCAGGAAACTATGTTTTGTTACAATATGGTTAATGATTAACTTTGAGTCAAGTTCTTGTAACCGACAAGTCTGTAGCAAAAATTGTGTGTGAGGAAGAGAGGGATGTATGTGTCTCCAGGTATGGCCACTCATAAGCTCTAACAAGGGATTTCAACCCAAATGCTCCAGCCAGTTCTGCATTTCTGCCTAAGCTTGTCAGAGCATCAGTTAGCCTTGTGTTTGATAATGATTTTGATTTAAAGAACTGAGACTCTTCACGTAAAAATGGTGTTTGCTTTTGCAAACACACACTTATCAGATGATGGAGAAGGCCTTACTTCACAACACAGAAGTTGTGCATGTGATGTTTATAGTTACTGTAAGTAATAGACCAGGGCAGCAAAAATATCTTTTTATGTTGTTAGAAGATTTTCTGCAAATTCATCTCCCAAAAGAAGCCTCTTCTTGTTTCTAAAGAAATAGAAAGGCTTCTAGCAAATTCTATTTTATATCTCATTCTCACTTCCAGCAAGGAAAATAAAGAGGCATAAGTGTACAGCTTTCTAAAGCAGCAGTTCAATGTATTATAGTACTGTTCCAAGGATATTCCATATTACCCTTTGCAGATGATGGAAATTAAATCTCTGCCATAGCTCTAATGATGTTATTTAGGCCTTATGCTCTAAGCTATGCATTTTATGTCAGCACACTAATTTGTTACCATTGGATTGGCCTTCAATCAAAAATCATTTGCTTTCTGGAAATGCAGATTTTGTCCACCTGCTTTTTGCCTGATTCCAGCTAATTTGTTACAAATTACACATGAAACTATTGCATTTTCCTGCTACCTTCAACAGCTGACTTGATGACAGCATTACCTAAGATCTTGCTAAATGAGTGACTCCTTGCTCACTTTGTCAGAGATTGCATGGAACTGACTGCTCTTGACCAAATAAAAAGCTTCCTATGTCCAGCACCACACCAGAGCACTCTTGACTTGGCATTTTCCAAAATCCCTCTGCTGAAGGTCACATTTTGGAATCATTCTAGGTTTGGAGAATTAATCCTAAATTAATCCTTCCTTAGGTTGCCATGAAAAACCTTCCTGTCTTCTGTTCTTAGAGCCCAGAGAGAGAGTGGAAGCTTTCTCAGCTTCATATACTGCATTATTCACTTGGCTTCTTTCCAAAATAAGGGTTATTTTTTAATATGAATCTGTTTAGGGATCTAGCTATCAGCTGAACCCCACAAGCAATTGTCTCAGTCAACTTCTCTAGCCAGCATTAATACTTATCTAAATCCTCAGGAAACTTGCAGTCCTCTCTGAGTGCTGGAAAGAGAGGAAATGAATTCATCTTTCCCTCCAAATTTATCCGCATTCTGTTATTTGACAGATTCTTCTCAGAAACAAGAACACAAAACAAGGTGAATTTTTATCTTCAAGACAAGAACATCTCATTTAGGGAAGCAGGATTAATGTAACATAGGTAACAGTGTTTGCTAGAAGAAAGCCTTGACACAATCACAGAATCTTCTAGGTTGGAAGGGACCTTAAAGATCATCTTGTCCAACCGTCAACCTAACTGACAAAAAATAGACATCCACACAACAAACAAGGAGCATCATCACTAAACCATACCTCCCAGCACTACATCAACCCGTCTTTTGAACACCTCCAGGGATGGTGCCTCAACCACCTCCCTGGGCAGCCCATTCCAATGCCTGATAACCCTTTCAGTGAAAAAAATTTTCCTAATATCCAGCCTGAACCTCCCCTGGCGCAACTTGAGGCCATTTCCTCTTGTCCTGTCGCCTGTGACTTGAGAGAAGAGACCGACCCCCATCTCTCTACACCCTCCTTTCAGGGAGTTGTAGAGAGCAATAAGGTCTCAAGACAAGAACATCTCATTTAGGGAAGCAGGATCAATGTAACATAGGTAACAATGTTTGCTAGAAGAAAGCCTTGACACAATGATGTTAGATGGTATTAAACAATGACTTAAGCTATAGCCTAAGGTGAGAGAGAATACCCTGTCTTTGCAAAGACAGATCTGAAGGGGAAGGAGCCAGGCGTTAATCATCTGAGAACATTACTCAGAGAGAGGGCTCAAAAAAAAGATGGTATTTAACAATGACTTAAGCTATAGCCTAAGGTGAGAGAGAATACCCTGTCTTTGCAAAGACAGATCTGAAGGGGAAGGAGCCAGGCGTTAAATCATCTGAGAACATTACTCAGAGAGAGGGCTCAAAAAAAGCAGTTTTATGGAGAACAG